ACAGTGCTGTATGGCCCTGCAAACAAATGCTTACAACATATGAAAAGTGTATCAAAAACACATACTGGTGACAGGGGGGATGAGGCTGCTGCTGGGATCCTCTTGGCATCCTGTAGACGAGCAACAACCAAAATGCACCATTTCACAGAAATTTCATTAACAAGGAACATGCTAAGACATGACGACACACAGTTTACATTAACATGACCATTAACAACATTTCAAGTGTAATACCACTGTGTTCCTTGTGTGTGTGTACTCACAGCCACAGGGCTGGACATGCGCTCCAAGGACTGCAGGATGCGTCTGGCTGTGGCACTGGTCACCCCACAGGGCTGAGCACCGGCAGGCTTGGCCTTGATCTGTCTCCTCACTGGAGCCTACACATCAGATGAGCACATTTAGTATCATATCTCATCTCATATATATTATAAATCACACTTCAGTCACAGTCACCTACAAAGAGCTGATAAAGTTTAACAGCCAGAAAACTGAACGCACATGTAGAGTGAATATAACTGATGCATTAAAACAAGTCTACTTGCCCCATATTTGGCTCCTCATACACAAGTCTCAGGTTCTACACTATATGGTTCTCAGTAGCTCACCTGGTATGGTGTTCCAGGACGTGTGCGACTGCTCCTGACTGCAGCTGCCCCACCATATGTAGTCTTCCCGGGGTAATAGGGTGAATCTCCAAGCTGGCTGGAATTCAGCACTGTGCTGTTTAATGTTGACTGGAACAGAGGGGGTTAAATTCATTTAAGTGAAATAGCTTCATTGTATTACTAATCAACTGTATGTAGGCTTAAGGGGCTTAACAAAATGTCATGAGTGCACATGCACCCTGCAATCTGTTCAATACTCACTTGTTTAGTCCTAAAAGAATAGATATTTGCTTCTGCTAAGAAAAATCAAGATAAATATTTTTCATAGAAGATCTAAATATATTACTATTCCATGAGGTTTACTATGGAAGAATGTTGACTGTGGCATCACAGTATTATTACAAACAGGCTCAAACTTGTGTTAAATGTCACCCTACTTCGTCCCTTGTTAAAATCTGAATCCATCTGCACACTAAAGCAGACTATTTGTTAGGAGTTGGCTAGATTGAGTTCTAGTGTCTGGCACGCTGTCATGCACATGAAAGTAAATGTACAACACAGTGATTACATGAGTGAGACTGGATGCAACAACTCACACTGTCTGGTTGTGAGCAGTGTGCCCGTATCACAGATTTTCCAGATTCTCAATGTGACAAATAATGCTACACCATAACTTACTGATTATTAAAGTTGAAACTTGAGGCACCGACACGTAGGATTCAATGGTTAGTGCAAAATATGTACAAGTCTGTGGTACACTGTTCAAAATTCCAGAGGGACATTTTATATTTAAATGGGTCACTGCTATAATGGCACAGCCTAGACTGAACTCTGAGATGCCAAAATGCCAAGCTTTGCAACACAGATCGGTTCTTATTCCAGCTAATGCTCCGTTTTTCCTGACACACAAATACTCACATTGGAGGAAGTTCCAAAGACAGACAAGTTGAAAGCAGGCTTTTTCAGACTAGACTGCGAAGGCTGTGGCCCGGAGTTTGTTCTTTCTGTCTCTGGGGACCAAAGCTGGGGAAGTGATGAGGTTTTGGAAGTGGGGACATCTGAAAAAGAGAAGATTAGTCTCAAACCACTTTGAAAAAAAAAATCTTTGTTTTTCTGACTTTATAATAGCCTTGACAGTCTCTGTGTTTATAAAACATCTGTTTGGGCGAAAGCTCTGTCATTACTAGGGTTGGGTACCAAACTTTGTACTTTTAAGGGTACTGACCAAATTATGTTGGTACTATAGAGTACCAATTCATGTTAAATCAAATGGTGCCAAATTTAGGTAACTAGGCTAGGAGAACATCAAGCTGTCCCTGGTAGGCTAGTGGTTAAGGCGCAGCGCTCACAACGTTCAGGTAACTAATTAGTTTCAGTTAAAATGACAAACAGCAGGGTCATAACAGCTGTTTATGTGCTTGCTGTAAGCTGGTGGGAGATGCGACACCGCTGGATGCAGCCATTATTTATGATGTAAAAGACATCACCCCGTAGCACCACTGAACAATCAGTGTTTCTGTAATTCCAAAAAGTCAGAGTGAGACAACTTCTCCAGTAAAACCACCAGTTGATCTCACATCGGTTTCATCGCTGTAACATATTCCAAGGCAGAGTGTATTATATTGCAAATGGTCATGAGGATTAAATATGACTAGTAAGCGTAGGCTCCAAGGAGGACAAGTAAGGAAAGACCAGGTGACTGGGGAATAGGCTCAAATGTGCGAAAAACAGAACTAGTAATTAACTGAAGTTATAAAGATGATTTGATGAATAGTCATTACACAAGTACAAAAGAATGCATATGAATATTTATAGTACCTTTATAAGATGACAAGTAAAACTAAGGTTTTAGGAATAAAGTACCAAAAGCAGCTACCACCGGGTACCTGTTCAAATGTGAACAGCACCAAACCCTAGTCATTACCTTTGTCAGATGCACGGGAGGAGAATCCACTTGTAGTGGAGATGTTATCGTCTTCATGCTGTGAGAGGTTGTCCTTGATTTCTTTGACCAAGGAGAAGCCAGTAGAAAAGGGTCCAGGGGCTGAAGAGGTAGAGGGTTGGGAGAAGAGGTTGCTAGAAGCCCCCAGTGTCGGAGCAGAAGCATCCAGTGAGGGAAAATGAAGGTGGGAGCGACTCAGAGGAGGTCGAGAAAGCACATATTCCTGAAAGTTCAGGGATGCCCGACTGGTTGAGGGCTCTGTGGAAGAGAGATACATCACAGACAAGCACGATGGTACAGTGGGACAATGCAAAATTGCAATTTTCCTGCAAGGGATTTAATATTTTTAGTTAATCCAAGATGAATTAAGTAGAAAGGATCTCTCACCTGTGGTACTGGTGCTAGGCTCTGGGGAATCACGTCCATCGAGGGGAGAAGGTTCCTCTTCACTGCCATTAGGAGGTGGTGGTGGTGGTGGCGGCTTGCAGTTCTCGTCTGTCCCTTGTACAGCTCCTCTTCCTTCAGGAGCATCTTCATTCTTGAAATATTTCTGGAGCCAGGAAGGAACGATGCTCTTTACTGTGTCCGTCACTCTGCTGATGAGGCCTGACTGGTGTTGCTAAAAACATAAGGGTGAAGAAGCTGTGAACAGGGGGTGAAATGACTGAAAGGCAGAGACGAATGGATACAGACAAACCATTATCCACTCATAAAAACTGTCTCTAGTCTTATTTGAAAGCTCCATTGATAATTATCATATAAAATTCAAAGTACATAAAACAAAGCTGCATGTGAAAGTGTTTTGCTAGCTAAATCTTGTAGATTTATTTTTGATTTGATTTGATTTATTTATTCTTTCAAGCATGTAAAAACAGTTGATATATCAGCACACATAATTTTACACATATCCAACAAATGCTAATCCAATATCAATGTGCTTATACCTAGTACATGCTTGAATGGAGTAGGAAGAAGTCAGACTTATCCAGTCCTACCCCATGACATCATCTTACCTCATTGGTTTGCAAGCAGTATCTCTACATAGATAATTATCTTCTACTTGCATTTATGGGGTTCAAAAAACAATAATGAATTCATGGCAAAACAATTCCACAATTTTTTTTTAATATTTTTTTTTATATGGCCTTTTTGTGGATCAGAGAGAACACTTGGATATCAACGCTTCATGGTATCATCTGAATCAGCTGAACAGACCCAATGGCAGTGAGAAGCCATTCATCATCCCCAGTGCAAAGCAAAACACAAGCTCAGTAAGAGGAAAAACTGGGTCAGGCACTGTGTATGCTTCTGTACAATAGTGAGCAAGTGACACTGATCTGCACTGTACCAAAGTCTAATACTGGATGATAGACGAGTCTTACCTGTAAACTTGGAGAGAAAATGCATTTTATATTTAGGGGACTTTCTAGGTCTTAACTGGGAAACTTGACCTTACCTATCACTGGTGAACAGCTTTCCAAATACAGGAGTTAGCTACACAGTATATTGTGTTCAAAAAAAGGTGTTGAAATGCCACAAAAACCTTCAGCCTTAAGCAAAATTTGCTCCAGTAGCTGAATATTCAAAAATGATGCCCCGGTTGGACAGAGGCGTTCTGGAGCCTCTCCTCCTCTGTGGTAGGAGATGATGGCAAAGCCAGAAGCAAAAGCTTTAACATGAATGCACCAACCAATTAAATGGAAAGCTGTAGAGGAGAGCAGTCAACAAGGCCATGCAAAACTTTTGACAAGTTTGACCATCCAGCCATATTTGTTTCTTTGTCTATGTATATGCATCAATTCTATTCAGAATACCATTTCTTTAGCTCTTAGATAAGTACTGTGACTCTACTTGGATGTCTTCAGATAAGGCAATGCTGCATGATGTACTAGTGACAAGAAAGTAGATGGAGAGGTAGAAAGATGAATAGAGAAGAGGAGCTAACTAGCTGGTGCATCTCCTTGTACATGCTGTATAACCTGCAGTAGCTTTCATTTTCTGATTAAGATCCATATGTGCCTCTTGGCTTCTGCTTATCTATGACGTACACCTGTGGACCACCCTGCACTTTAACCTATGTGCAAATACACACAACTTTAACTAGTCAAAGACTAATGTAATAATCAGCAGCACTTGTTTACATAACACTACATAAGCTATTGCTTAAGGGGATTTAAGGGTGCCACATTTCTTGCTGTAGCAGGGTCATGTGACTAAGTAACCTGTGGTTGACTGACACTAGGGATGGGGTCCAGAAGCATTTTGGCTAACCTGAATCATTTCTAAACCCTCACTGAGCCTGGAATCACATCCAAAACAAAACTGGCTATTGGCTAAAAAAAAACCCCCATCCCTAACTGACACTGCTCTCTCAGATGGCCATCGTGTCAAACAGAAACACAAAGAGATTTTATATGCCAGTACCTGAGCAAATCAGCGCATCTAGCTCTTCAAGGCAAAAAAGTGTTAAATCAAAGATGAATGAAAGCGATGAGCATGTACTTTTAGTTCAAATGTGCCATGTGAAGTGGTACAGTAAGTGTTGACGAGGACTTCCCCCACTGTTACAACTTGAAAACAATAACAGAAGCTGTGAGAAAAATCACTGAATACTACAATGGATGCAATACAAATATTGCATGTCTTATCATGCTCCTGCTTTTTTAATAAGCAGTGGTGTGTAAACCAAGCTAGTCCAGAAACATTAAACTCATCTTTTAAGGGTAACTGTACAAAAGATTTGGATAATTATTGTTTTTGGCTGACTTCAGCCGACACACATCTGTATTAAGTTCAAATACCTCAGCATTATTTGATATGTAATGAAATATATGAATACTTAAAAGATACTTATTTAATTAAAAATGTTTACATTCATGTTTGTCAGTTGCTCTGTGGTTCTTGCCTTGAAAGCATCACTCCGGATATTGCCTCTTTGTTTCAACACACTAAACAATAGCAAACGAATCACCATCTAATAATCAAAGGTTGTGGCACTGATGAAGAGGGACAGGGTGTCAAGAACTACAGCATGTTACTGATAAATGGCAAGATAGCAACATATTGTAACTTCTTTGACTGGCTTTGAAATGCAAGAAATTATATGATTTTGCTTAACTACAAAAGAAGAACAAAACCTACACTAAGCAAAATGTTTATCAGGCCCACATTGTTAAACTAATGCAGTTCGTGTTGAGTTTATGGTTATTTTGTGGACAGTAGTTTGTGTCCTGCTGCATTTAATTTTCGTATGCAGAGGCATTTTCCCCCACCTGACTTCGATCGATTAAAAGTAAACATTAAAGAGTGACACAGATGATGCATTCACGTCCAAACCAACAATGTCCAACAAATACAATAAACGCCAAGCTTGAACCTGCGTATTTTTTATTTTTATTTTTTATAATTTAGCAAACAGTATAAAAGGTTGGTGAAGCTCACAAATATGGATAACTGCGAGAGATAAACAATGACTATCCATTCAAATTTTGTTTCCTTGTACCATAAACGGACAATTGATTAATGTAGCTAAACTAACCTTTAGTTAAAATGACCAACTGGTTGTGGCACTAACAATAATCTATTGTCAGATTCGCTGACATAAATTTTAAAGTTGCCTCTCCAGCCAAAGCACTGGCAGGCAGGCTGACTTTCATATAATAAAATGTCTCATTTGTAGTTATGTACAAAGACATGTCTTGCACAGTGCTAAGGCTATGGAGTGGTTTTAAAGCGAACATTAGTTGATGTCCAAGCGGCAAATGTTTCAACTCAAGCTACCATGTGTGCTCCCAATCAGCCAAAGCTTCATGCGCAATCCAACTGCCTGAGATTTGGCTAACGTTAGCTAGCACTACATCCAAAATATTTCCCAAGACGCCAAGAACAAAATCTTAAATTAGACCAGCATGAAAGCTGGTTACAGACAGATTTGTACAGGTGTATTTTGGGGGGGAAAAAACGAAGATACTACTTCTACCGGTAACGGCGTGGATCCTCCAAACTTAAGAACCGAAGATAACAATGCTTTACTCGCGGATGCTAGCTAGCTAAAACTTAGAATTACCTTGCTTTCCGCTAACTTCGTTAGCAGCTAATAACGTACCAACAGAGAAAAGGTTGGTAATCCCAGCATGTCTTGTGTGCACTTTCACTTTACAAAACACCTATTTAACTAGTCCAAACGACTGGCTGTGTTGTGATTAGACCTGTCAAGTCTGTCTAATTTTGCTACCCTATAAACCAGCTTGCTAGTTAACATTATCTAGCATTTCCCGAACATGATAGCAGCGCGTGGAGGCCATGAGCGCTAACAGCAGGCCACAAAATGTCTCCAGCAAAACAATAACAAAAGCTGAGAGATAATGGCACTGCGGTCACCGTAACATCCTCAACAGGGGGTTTTAACACGAAAACTTTCACTCGATTTACCTGTTTACTCTTGGCGTAAGGTTTAGAAGCGATATGATATCTCCTGCTTCTAATTTTCCCTCCACCCGTGGCCGCCATGGCTCTCTCGTCTGAGTGTCTATCGTTGTTTCGGCGCCGGATAGCTGTCATCCAGCACAGCGGCCACTAACAGAGATGTCATGGGAAATGTAGTCACTGAACATAAAAAGGTAAGTTTGATAGGACTCGGCACAAGGGATTATTTTCTTCCATATGATTAAAAACTATTATATAGTAAAGTAAAAAAAATGTTTAGATTGAAAATAAAACATTAAAAAACTTGTATATTAAAAATGAAGCATTTTGTAATTACTACTTTAATAGAGCTGAAACAAAAGCCGACTACGGTAGAGGGTAAAGTACTACTAGCCTACTCAAATTAGCCTATTACATATGCTACACGTACTTTACTTAAGTAGGCTACTTTCAATTTATATACTACCTTTACCAGCTGCAACATTTAAGTAATGAGTACACATAAATGCATTGAATAATAAAATATACACTGTTCTGATATAAAATTCTGCATGAGAACTATTCTTATTTTTGGTACTTTTAAGTATATTTTGAAGTCTATACTGATGTATTTAAGTAAACTATGGAATGCAGGATCTTTACTTGTGACTATAGCTATGCTGTGGTATTAGTACTTCTACTTTAAGTACAAGATTTGAATATTTCTTCCACTACTGTTAGATGATTAGTAAATCATTATAAATAATTTCTTCACCACAAATACTAATAAATTATTAATACTAATAGTTTATATGCAGGTGTGAAACATAAATTAAGATGGCAAAATTAATGTGTGTCTGTTTGTTACAGGAGAGACCTCAAGGACAAGGACAAGGACAAATATCACAAAAAAATTGTAATGTGTAGTTATTTAATTGTGTACAAAAACAAGAAAATCCACCCATATATAAAAATAAAAAAGGAATACCAAGTGAACTGTTACAAATATAATGATTAAACATTTTATATTTAATACAGTATAGCATTGCAGGTGTTTTCATTTTGGAAATCATTGGGACTGACTAGTGCTACATAAGGTTTGTTTCAATTAACATTAATATATACTCAAAAAACATGGCCTTACTAATACTGGTTAAGTTAATAAAAAGTTATACTGTAAAATATATCCTAACACTAAATTTGAAATGAAATGGCATTGTTCAATAACATTAAGAACCGCTTATACGGACCAGTCACTCAGTGGTTATTAACATTTTAATTTGGATGACTAGAAAAAAAAACACTCAAAAAGACTGCCTTTTCAAAAGCATTATTTTACAAGTGATTATCCAGTGCTGCTAAATGTCACAGTGCTATTGCCCTGAATGTCTCAGTATTCTTTGTCAGTACATCTTACACATATTGTACACTGATTACTTCACCATAATTACAAACACTCGCAAATTTACAAAAGTCATGTACAGCTAAAACAGCTCCAATAAGCAAACAGATGAAAACTTAAAAGGTTAAGAAATTAATGTAAAACATAAAGGCTACTGCTGTTTCAGTAACCTGAACACCTGGGTGTTCCTCTCATTTGAAGTAAACAAAAACATCTTTGATGATGCTGTACTGACTGAGGAAAAGCACGCATACCAGCACTTTACTGTATTATGGAAGGAGCAAATTGTGGTCACTTTTCCAAATTATTTTCTATATAATATATGTATATTAATTATTTATATATTAAATCCCTAAGCTTAACATATAATTATCACCAAATGATTTACAAAATGCCACACACAACAATAATTATCTTTAGTTTCTCTAGTAAAGCTGTACACAGTAATATTTAGAGTGCCAGTAGGATGCACGTACTCAGGGTGGTGGTGTTGACTGGTCCGTAAGCATTCTAATAACATTCACAAATTGTTGGGTGCAGGACAACACATAGTCTAGCACGTTAATTTTTACAATCCAAGTGAAGCAATGTTCTGCTTTAAAATCCTGTGCATATTCACCCCAGTGTGCAGCTCTATCAAGGCTTGCTGATGTGACTAATTTGAAGTCTGCTTTTTGGCATCTAGCATTAATTCAATCCTTGATACAACTTTAACCACAATTATTTAGTAAATTTAAGTGCATACTGCATACCCCTTGTTGGATGCTTTAGTGGTGGTGTTTATTGTCTCTTCCCTCCACGGCCATTCACTAATCTATTCCTCCGTTTTGTAGGCTGTAAACTTCTCAAGGACTCCGTCTGACCTGTGGAAGAAAACGACAGCATTATTTAAAAATTTGTTCTGGAGTTAAATGAAGAGTTGGCACCAGTCTGCATGTTATGAGACTGACCTGCAGTACCATCTGGGACTAAATCACATGAGTTGACAACACTGCTGTCATCACAGTCCTCACTTTGCAAAGAAACACTCTGTAAACAGAAGGAAGCTTAGAGCCATTTCTGATGAATACTAATAAGATGAACAAATTAACAAGTGATATAACAAACATAAAGGAACAGTTTTCCTGACCTCCTCTGGTTAAAGGTTTTAAGTCTGGAGACCTTTTTCATAGAAAGCATTTTAAAATGTCAAGGAGGAAACAGGTATAAATAGTAAAATAAATGATGGCTGAATTCCATTTGGCCTTTTGTATTTCAAGGTCCTGGTGTTATAAATCATTATTAGTTACACCTGTGCCTTTCCTACAATGACAGCTCAAAATATCTGTTAGGAACAATACAATTTGTAACAAACAACAGGACAGCAAAACAAGATTTGCTCTGTTATAAGTTGCTCTTATAACATTTATTAAATTGCAAGAATCAAGGTAACATCTCACCTTCATTTTATTTTGTTCATACCACACCATCCCATATAAGCATAAAAGTGTGATGAGTGCCTAAAAATGTAGAAGCAGATTCAAAACAGTCTAGTTAAACACAATTTTTGTTTCTTCTAAGGACATGACAGAAACTACACAAAGTGAGCAGAAAACCATAAACCCTTAGGTTAAATTTTTATTGCAACACAGTTAGCAGGTGTATACTATAGCAACCATATGTCAACACTTTGCATGTGAACAAGGTTGCAAAAATTGACTTTAAAGCATTAGTCGATGTCTACTATGTAGATGGAAACTGTGAACACTGTCAAGACTGTAGAAAGGCTGTTTGAAGGTGTCAAACTCAGTGGTGTACAATGATTACAGTACATATGGAATAAACTCAAAAGCAGGATCCTTAGAAAGAAACATGTATCCTTGATATTTGAGTTAAGTATTCCTGTCTGTATGGTCAGCTAATAGCAATGTGCCGCAGGTCACTGCCACTCTTCATGGGCATTGTTATTAGGGCAACAAATGGTCCAATGCAGTATTAACCAGGCACCTTTATTTTTTGAAAAACAACTGGCAGAAACACAGTAATATTTGACATTGTTATTATCATTTTCAATATTGTTCTTTATATATTGGTTGGTGTAGAACATCGTAGTGTTATTACATTTACACTAGAACTCCAGTTATATAATTCTCAGGCCTCAGATCCAGACTCTCTGAAGTGAAACATGTCCTTTACTAGTGCGCGCGCGCACGCACACACACACACACACACACACGTCTCTTCTTACCAGACAGATCAGCCACAGGAGTACATAGCGTATTTGTGTCTTGGAAAACAAATCATGACCAAATTTCACACAAGCAAGAGCCTCCAGGAACGCGATAGCTCTGAGGGGACATATAAGAATACAATTAGATAAACAATACTGTTGCTATGGAAATACTAAACACAGGGTGTTGTATTTAACAATGGCTCCCCCTCTTGGCAATGCTGTTTCTTTGCAGTGGAACTCAGTGAATTCATACTGTATACAAATCCATATACATATTTTCTATTTCCCAGCCATTCAACCCATAACAGATTTTTTTTTTTGTTACACCACAGGGGGTAAACCTTAGACAAGAGACCAGCCTCTTTTGTCCAGATGGAGAGATCCTATCTTGTTACTATAGAAACTGAAGCGGACTACAGGCATCAGCAGCTGTGTGTCCTAAATGGGGTCAATAACTGTATAATGTTATGAATTTCAATTGCCTTGAAATAAAATCAATAAAATTACATCTCAATAAAGACACATTTGAGTGTATCATTACAGTTTAAATAAAAACTAAACATACATTTTTTATGTGTTTTTGTCTGTTCATCTTTCAGCCACACTATAATACCCTGTAAGACCTGGTAAAACATACAAGATACTAAATAGAGCATTTGGCAAATTAAGTTTAAATGAAAACTTCTGTATCAGTTTGGCTGAAATCTATTCACGGTTATGATGCAACTGTGTGACAACCTTGACTGGTTGTCATATTTGGATCTGCATCACTCTAGGTCCTTCTTTCTACATCCATCAACATATTTGAACCACAAAGAGGAACAGATGAGTAACACATGATAATGTTTACTCCCAGTTGCCAGTTTGATTAATAACAGGGATATCCACACAGCCTCTTTCTTCATTGTCATATATGCAAGCAGACATGAAGAGAACTCAGTGCAAAATTCAGTGTCCATTTCCTTACCAGACCATTGCTATTAATGCTAAAATTGAAATAGTGTTGATAGTTAACCAAGGAATTCCTAATGGAGGCATACCAAGTTTTCAAGAAATACTTTGAAATAACTTGCTTCTAAATCACTAAAGACATGAATTAGCAGAAGAAAAGATACTTACCCAAACACCCAACACTGTGTGCCAACACGTTTACACTGAGTGTCTGTCAGGTATGCATAATATTGCCTGAAAAAGGTTGAAAAACATAAGCCACTGTTTTTTAACAAGAACATAGAAAACATTTGACTGGCCAGGATTAAATATCCTACAAATAAAATAAACTTACTACACATTTATTGTTGCTCACAAAAATAACATTGCCATTTTGAAGGTTGAACTTACCGTACAGTCGGTGCAGTGATGACTCCAATGAGGAGGATACGACACCAGCTGAGTGGGTGAGATGCCTGGAATATGAAGATATGCTTGAGGAAGAATGTGTTCAGCTCAGTCAGCTGTAAAGATAAAAGGGTGCAAGACAGACAGGATTTAACAGAACTCCCATTGGTGTTTTGTGTATTTGTGAACGAGGAAGTCGTTGTAGAATATGTAATTCACCGATTCGTTATTTAAAAAAAGGCAAAGTAAAAAACAAACAAACAAACAAACAAAAAAAAAAACAGGTTAATAGTGAAACTAAGTGTTATCTGGAGCTCTAAAAGCAGGGACTTTGACAATATTCTAAGTACTTCTTTGTCAAAGGTCAAAGCCTACCTGCCATAGGATCATAAAGAAGTAGATGCCTGCTAGCCTCTGAAAGGAGGACTTTGGGTCAAACCAGCGCACATAAGTCCAACTGGCTGGTGTGAATTGGAGCACAGCTCGCTTTATTTTCCCTGTGGTGGTGTGGATTTCCCTGAACAGACACAGTATATGTGCTTTTAACAATACTGACATAAACACATATACACTTCAAACTAAAGCACAAACCTCTCATAACCTATCTGAACATCATCTGCAGAAGAGATATTTTGTCTTCTCAATCACAGGTGTAACTAATAACTGTATTAACTGCTACTCTAAGGAATGAAGACATCATTAAGGCTATTAGTTCCAACTGTTTTCTTGTTTCAAGTAAAAAACCTTTTATTGCACAACAGAACTTATAAAAAACATGCATGTTAAGTGTTAGAGTTCATGTTCCTAACAATGCTATTTCAATAATGTTCTACATATAACCTTTGTTAATATGTTTCTCAGTACTGTTTCTGGTTGTTAAAAATGCTATTGATTATGTGCTTTGGGAACTACTGAGCTAATTGGATCCTGTAAATAGGAACTTGCCTGTATTTTTAATTGGGCACCCAAAATCTCTCAGTGATCTATAAATACTTTGTGTAAAATATCAGTGATTCACAGAAAAGAAGAACCCATCACTGACTTGATACTGGCCCAGTGGTAGGTCCTCATCTCCAAAAAGCGGCAGACTGTCATACCCATCCAGATGCCTCCTCCATTACACAACAGAATGTCCAGTATCACCTGATCCCACCAGCACTCCGCAAAATTTGGCAGAAGGTGCATGAAGAACAACTGTTCAAAAAGAGTGCAAAGGAGAGAAAGGAGCATGAATATAGAATTTAAGTGGGGAGAGAAAAAAGCTGATGAATTAAGAAATGCTTTTAAAATCAAGGGATGTCATTTCTATTAGAAAATAAGCAATCTATAACATATAAATATAGAGTGTGTTTTTTCATGTTTGTGGCACCTTATATGACAATAGGCTCTGTGACGAAGTCAAAACTGTGATGGATCTGCATCTCATGACAAATCTGTCTAGTCAACAACTGGCAGCAGTCAAGGAAACAGTTCATTATGCACATGGAATTCTGCTGATACTACTGTTTTGTTGAGGTTTTTCCTAAACAATCAAGTGCTGTTAACTGCACTAACTGAGGTGAAGCAATGTTGTGTGACAATACATATCGGATCTTTTTTTCCATGACCTTGTTGATTGAATTACTGTTTAGGTCCTTAGACAGCTGCAATTTCACATATTTTAACTCATGCAGATAAAGTCGGACCATATTTGAACAGGTGTACACACACACACACACACACATACACACACACACACACACACGTTACCTCAGACAGGTCCCAGGTGATGCTGATGGTCCAACACAGGCTGTAGCTGCGGATTAGGAGAGCCTTCATAGCCCAGCCTGCAAAGTGGCCAAATGCAAAGATGTCACAATGGCTCAGGATGCGCTCCCATGTTATCACTGTACAGTTTACAGCATATTCCTGTAAGGGTACAAGTGACAGAATTAATACAAACACAATGGAAACCAAAAGAATCCTGATACCTGTATGGTAAGAGCCAGGAGTGCTTTTATCTTAAACAAATTCCTGAAAATAGAACCATAAATCTCTTCTACATTAAATTTCAGAAAAGGTTCCACAAAAAGCCCAAATCAGTGATCTTTTGTTGCAGCAGGGGTGTTCCATTTGCTCTTTGAATGGGCACCTATGAATAATGGGATGTATGATGCATAGATGTACATTGTCAGTATAGTGTTTGTAACCTGAGGTTCTTTACATCCATAGAGACATCTGGACAAAGTAAGGAAATTTGTATGACAATAAACAAGGTGGGACAGAGTGTTTCTCACTGCCTCCATTCCTCATTTTGACCTCTTCCAACATAACAGATATGGTGTTAACTTGCCCTGATGCTGTCAGATGACAGAGTTTCAAAAACATCCTCACCATGATGTCAGCTTCCCGTGTGGCATAACGCAGATTAGGGTCCAACCAGTACATCAAAGTCTTCACTTGCTCCCAGTTGAGGAAGATGAGGAAGACAAGAAATAGGAAGTAGAGAACACTGAGACCTAGCCAGGACAGGAGAGAGGAGTGAGGATAAAAACAAGTGAAAACTGGATCTATATAGAAATGTCAGGTCACTCAGACTACTCACCAAACACCATTCGCCATATTGCCGGGTGTGGCCTGGTAAAAGGTCCTGATGAATAAAGAATCATGAGTAAAATTTACTATGTTTGTACTGTATCAATCAGCAAAAACTGACAAAAAGTCCTAAAGTTCACCTAATAGTTTTTTGACCCATAGTTTAAAACCATATCTTCAGTTGCTCAGTTATCATACAGATACTGTATGTAGCTCTGTTTATACCAGGGGTGTCAAACTCAATCGCACAGGGGGCCAAAACTCAAAACACACTTTAGGTCGCGGTCCGAACCGGATACAAATTTATTGAACAGACTAAAACTAAATGTTTTTTTGAACATAAATATGAATCGAAACAGACAGGATACAATATTATTCCAAAATAAATAAACTTGAACTTAAAATCACCAACCGTATTTCTGCTAAGCCTTACATTTACAAACACCTGCTTTTTGTCTGGACACCAGACGTCTCACACTTTCATCATGCAGCTCTTCAGAAACTCTCCCTCAGTAAATGTCCGGGCTGATTTTCTCCTCTGCTGCAATAAAACTTGCTTTCACAGCAGCTTCACTGTGTGATTTCACTTTGGTGAAAACGTCTGCTGTGATGTCATATTCCTCTTCAACTCCTCTACCTCTACCGTAGTTGACGCGGGAATGATCGCAGGTAGCCTATCTTTCGGTAAGGCAGCTGTTGCGCTGCATTATGGGATTTGTATTTTGTGTGTTATCGGCGCTTCATATCGCAGGGCCATATATGTCTTAAAAAAAAAAGATATATAAAATGATCTCACGGGCATTGAGTTTGACACATGTGCTTTATACATTGACCACCTTTTATCAGATTACCAAATTTCCATTATTGACAAATGCACTATCTATATGACAACTCAGTAAGCTCTCTCTTAAAGGAAGAAGACGATGGTTACGTACAGTAACCCAAGCTTCTACAAGTATAGGTGTAGCCCTCTAAGAGCTGTCGCTATTGGGTTTATCCCTCGTGCATGCGCAGTCCTGAAGAGATTCTTTCGCCCCTGTGCCCTGCACTGGGCTGTCCTCAATTAGGTCCGCAGCAGCAGTATAACTGCCACTGTGACCTAAGCTCGCCTCCTTCTTTTTCTTCAACAGTTCTAAAGAGCATTCTCATAAGAGAACAACTATGGCCTAAGAGCAACTCTCCTCCTCCAGTGGAACCCGGCGCTGCCCTGCTGTCACTGTATGCCCCGACTGCGACATGGGCTTCATTCTGGCCAGCAACCCGCACCCCCGCTGTGAACCCTGTCTCCCGAGCTGGCCCTCTCCCCCCAGGCTGCTTGCCCCTTCTGCGCTTGCCTGCTGGTAGCGGAGAAGCAGTGGAGAGTGGATGCTTTCGCTGCAATGAAAGAGAACGGGCCAGATGATGGCATCTCCTCAGCCTCTCGTGGTGACAGCCCCGTGGTGGACGCCCCACTGGAGTTCTGGGGGCCCGGGTCCAATGACCTGTTTCCCCCCATAGCCGGCTCCCCCGGTTCTCCGATTGACCCAATAGCCGATTTGGACAGAGACAAGCTACCCCTGGCTGAGCAGCATGCTTCCACCGCTGGCCATCCTTCGGCGCTTGGTGCTCTGCTCCACGACTAGCCGGGAATTATCGCCAAGGCAGCAGGTTGTAAAGGCATCCCCATTCCTGTGGCTGGACCACCTCCTGCCCCCTCGGACATGGTGGGAGATTACTACAGAGCAGAGCAACTGAGTAAGCCTCCTCCAGCCTGGCCCAGTTTCCCTGCTATCCAGCCCTTCTTCTCCGAGGCAGGAGAACAGCTGTGGAGCCTGCGGGCTCCAGTCCCCCACTATGAGGCACTCACCAGAGTCGAGGGGATGACCGACCAACCATCCGTGCCGCTGGAGACCAGCATCTCCTCCATCCTGCTCCCTAAGATGGCGTTCTTTGGCAAACAGCGCCCCACACCTCCACTGCCCCGAGACCAGGTCACTGGCTTGGCTCACGGACTGTATCCACCAATGCGCCTCCCAGGCTGGAGCTGCGGTCAACAACATCGCCCTCCCCTCCCTC